CCTTGGGAAAGTTACTTTACTTCTCTGAGTATCAGCTTCCTCATCAAAAAATGAGTATAATAACAATCCTTCTGTGTTTCCTAGGAAGATTAGATTACAGCAGTATGGATTAAGTGCTTAACACCTTGCGTAAGGCATAAGCATCCAGTAAATGGAAGCTGTTATTTTTTTCCTGGTGTTTGATAATTTCTCTCTCTCTCTCGCTTTTTCTTTCTTTTTCTCTTTTTTCCCCCCCTTTTGGAAGGCGAGGAACTGGGCACTGTGTTGGTTTGTTCAAACATAATAAGTGCAAGATATTGTTGGCCTAATTTCTAGCTAGACTGGCAAAAAGCAGTGTTGGTAGGCTATAGCAACCTCTGTCTGTCGGCCTGGTGATTTTTTTTTTTTTTTTTAATATGCTGTCCCCGAAAAACATGATAGAATTTGTTTTACTTCTCTTCTGCCAGGAAGTAACCCTTCTGGCTTTGTTAGAAGCGTGGTTTGTAATAATTGTACCCACCCCAGATGGCTCCTGAAAAACCTTTGAAATGCCATCTGCCAGGCGTGTGTCCAGCAGGCAGCCTGTCATTCTGCTGGAAGAAAAGAGGGGGCGGGGTCCCCTCCCAGGCCCTTTCTCCCTAGCATCACTGAATGGATCCTGGTCATGTGGGCCCAGACCCAGGGCCGGTTGCTCAGAGGGTAACTGGGTGTAAACCTCCTCATGGCCTGCAGAGTGGAAAGGTTTTGTCTGGGTAATAAACCCTGAAGGTTTTGTGGGTGGAGATATACCTGCCCCCACTCCCTTCCCCTGCTGCTCAAAGGTCCTTGTAAGCATATTTGTTTCCAGGGGAAAACGATGTCTGCTCGTTTTCATTTTTCCTTTAAAATGTTCCATTTTTCAAGTTCTTGATTGTTTTCAATCCTTTCAGGAAATTAAGACTCAGAGGTTATTGTTGTCTTTACAGTTACACTGAGAAATTGGTTCAGAAAACGTGGGAAGAAGTGACAAAGATTAAAGATGGTTATAGGAGGGAAAAAACCCCCAATACTGTGTGGTGTAGAAGACTTTAAAAACCCAACAAATCTTTTGTTTGGTCTTATTTATCCTCATTTTTTGGGGGGGGGGGTGGATTAAGTTAATAGAATTTTGGTATGGAGGCCAAATATGAGAGTTGCCATAAAAAACATATTTAGGACAGATTCTTTCACAGCAAGTTTCAAAGAGATTCTGTTCTTTCCCTGCGCTGGAATTTCCCAATATGATGTAGACTCTTTGTGTTTTCCAAGTAGCCGGCTGAACAGCTTTTGCACTTGGCTCTGAGGCATCACACCCTCCTCCTCTGCTCCCGCCTTGCTGACTATTGTCTCTTATCTCCTCTGAGGATCTTCCTCTTCTTCTCAGTTTCTAAAAATTATAAGGTTTTTGTGTTTAAGTCAAACTTCTTGGCTGCTTTTTCTATACTCTCTCTCCCCCTCGATTTTCTCTTTCTGTCTCTTGCCTTCAAATGCCAGTGGTTTACTGATGACTCCCAAGTTCAGGGCCCAACCACCACTCTGATTTTCAGATTTTCATAGTCACCTGTTCACAGCTCTCTACATCCAGGTGTCTGATAGGCATTTCATACTTTTTACATGTTCAGAAGTGAACTCTTATTAAATTTTTTCCCCTAAGAACCCTTTCCCCCATCTTCTTGATCTCTGTAAATGGCAGAACCCATTTGCCCAGGTCAGAGAATAAGATGGCAATCCTTATTCTTTTGTTTTTCTTATACACTCCATCTACTCCATCAGCAAGTTCTGTCTTTAAAATATAGACCTAGCATGGCCTGATGAGTTGATGTACTTTTAATACATCTGTCCTGCGGGCTGTGTCTTATAGCTGTTTAAAATGTTTACAATTCATAATAGAAATCTCACTGCTTCTTGTCACCTTTGTCTACTGTTCTTGTCTGTGCCCTGATTTTTTTTTCTCCCCTGGACCCTGTAGTAACCAACTAACTTGTCTTCTTGCTTCTAGTTTTGCCCACCTCACCCTCCTACTCTGCCTGTTTCCTGCCCTTAGCTCAGTGATCTTTTAAAAATAAATCATGGTACTATCCTGCTCAAAACCCTCTAGTGGCTTCCCATCATCCTTAGAATAAAGTATGACATGTTTGCTGTGGCCTCTGCACCATCTGGCCCCTTGCTTTCATTTCTAACCTCTTTTCCATTGCTCTTCCACAGTTAACTCTGGACATTTTGCCCTTCCCTCAACATGCTAAATCTATTCCTACTTCGGAACCTTTGGCCTTTGCCCAGGCTGGGATGCTTTTCCCATCACCTTTGTGCTGCTCTCAGTTTAGGTGGCACCTCCTTAGCCAGGCTTTTCCTGATTACCTGTCTAAAGTAGCTTTACTCCTCCTCACCCTGCTTCCTCCCTCTTAAGAGATTTTCAAACCCTTGAAATTATATGGTATATCCATATGCATGTTTATAATCTGTCTTTCATAATAAAATTCCATTAGGGTAGGGGCTTTGGTTTCTTCTCCAGTGCCTAAACTGCTGCCCAGCAGGTATGGGGGCCTTAGTGAATAATTCTTGAAAAAAATGAAACATGTAATAATATATGTAATGTATTAATATATATAAAATTGTATGTATATATAAAATTTGAACTATAATAGTCTACCAACTCATTTCATTCTAATAAGTAACATAAAGTATGTATCTGGTAACAATTATTGAGCTTAGCCTTCTAAAAGTCTTATCCCACTCAATACACACAACAAACCTATAGTGTAGGTAGTGTTATTCTTATTTCACAGGTGCGGAAACTGAGAAATAGCAGAAGCTCAGGAACATGCCCAAGACCGCAACCTGGTGAGCCAGACAGACTATGACAGACATCATTCCCATTCTATATACCTGCTCTACAACAGTATATGGTACTGTTTATGCTTCTGGAATACCCATCGTGTGCTTGATACCATAGATATAAATATTGTGAAGCACTTCAATGGCCTTGTCATCATCTGTCAGGGGAGCCAGAAATGGGAACAAATTAGTATACACTACAAGAGTAGACTGCTGGACACTATACAAGCAGGCTTCTTTACCAGAAAGTCCCAGCGTGCTGGGCATGAGCTAACATTTCTAATATAATTGTTCTATGGACAGTTTGCAGCTGTTTATAACACTCAAATTTCAGATAATAGAAAAACGGGGCTTGTTTAAAAATGTGTTTAGCCTGAATGAAATATGCAACAATGTTGAGTTTTTCTGTTTTGTTTTGTTTTGTTTTGTTTTGCGGTTCGCGGGCCTCTCACTGTTGTGGCCTCTCCTGCTGCGGAGCACAGGCTCCGGACGCGCAGGCTCAGCGGCCATGGCTCACGGGCCCAGCCGCTCCGCGGCACGTGGGATCTTTCCGGACCGGGGCACGAACCCGTGTCCCCTGCATCGGCAGGCGGACTCTCAACCACCGCGCCACCAGGGAAGCCCTGTTGAGTTTTTTGATTTGAGAGAATTCTGGATATCCACTGTAAGTGCATGGAAATTCACATGATCAGAATCTGTGCTCTGCCATGAGCACTGGAGCTAACATACAGTTGCTTATTTCATTATTTTAGGGAGAATTAGGAGTAGGGAAAAATCCCTGCTTATTATATTAAAAAAACATTGACCTGAAAGCGCCATAGGTAATGGCGCCTTGCAAAATGAACCCATGTTGATCATATCCCCTAACTTGAACGTAGGAGCAGAAGTCATGAGTTTTGCTGTTTTTTGGTCTCTCCTAACGTTGAACATAGGTTCCTAGTATACACTATGTAATTGCTTCTTGGTTTATTTTCTTTTTTTGGTTTGTGTGTAAACCATATTCCTTCCACACTTTGGGGTGAGGTTGGGCTAAATTGATAGGTCTCCCGCCCAGCACCTGAGCTGGGTGACTTAAATATTCTAGAGGCTCTGTGTTATTTCATAAGAAGAATCATTATATTTATTAGTCTTTGAGAGAATGACGAGATTAATTCAGGGGGAGAATTTTCTAACAAATGCAGTGTCCTTTTTCTCCCATCAGAAGTTATGGGTGGCCTCTTTTTGCCAAACATGTTAATTACATGGAGAGCAGCAACATTTTTAATCCCTGGGAGGTATCCGGCCACAGATCTTGGGCAATTGAATTTCTCTAGTGATGTGTTTATGCAGTGGGTGTCATTTTCTTCAAAGGGCTTATTACATTGGAAGTTGCCAGATGTGTTGAGGAACACAAGAATTTTGAGGCCTATGATAAAAATATAAACCCCTTAGGCTCTGAGCTTAAGGTGGATATCTTTTTTTTTTTTTAACGTGCTAATCTTTTTTTTTTTTTTTTAAGATGTTGGGGGCAGGAATTTATTAATTTACTTATTTATTTTGGTTGTGTTGGGTCTTCATTTCTGTGCGAGGGCTTTCTCTAGTTGTGGCAAGCGTGGGCCACTCTTTATCACGGTGCGCGGGCCTCTCACTATCGCGGCCTCTCTTGTTGCGGAGCACAGGCTCCAGATCCGCAGGCTCAGTAGTTGTGGCTCACGGGCCCAGTTGCTCCGCGGCATGTGGGATCTTCCCAGACCAGGGCTCGAAGCCGCGTCCCCTGCATTAGCAGGCGTATTCTCAACCACTGCGCCACCAGGGAAGCCCAAGGTGGATACCTTTTTTAGAACTTACTGGATCCCTAAAAGCTGCTGATTGTGAATGTCATCTGTATAAAATCCAGTTCACCCTTTTCATTCAGTGCATGTTTTAAGTGATAAAAATCTCCCTGGGTTGCCTAGCTGTGCTTGTTTTTCTCTTTCTTGGATTTGAGGGGCCCAGGCATCAGAGGATGGAAGTAAGGATACTTTTCTGCTAGAAGGAAGTTGTCTTTGCCAGGTCCCTGTCTCAGTAGGCGGGTCTGTCAGTTTAGGTACTCCAGCTTACTGAACAGGTTATTTTAATTACACCTGGATGGGGTGCTTCCTGTTTCAGTGGACTGATGATTTCTCGTGCCTTTGTCTTGTCTGCTGCAGGCACAACCCGGTCTCCCAGAGAAGGAGAGGTGCCTGGCGTGGACTATAACTTTCTGACTGTGAAGGAGTTCTTGGACCTGGAGCAGAGCGGGACTCTTCTAGAAGTCGGCACCTATGAAGGTGAGCTGATCTGTATGGCAGCGGTGAGGATACCTCTCTGCTGGGTCCTGCAGAGGATCCAGGGCCATCCAGGCAAAGATTCTGTGGACTAGTGAAGTCTGAACATCTATAGGAGGCTGCAGTTCACCTTAAAGGGAGTAATAATAATAAAATATATGGAATATGGAATAAGGCTTTGTGGAGCACTTTTTTTTTTTTTTTCACTCGAGGAGTTTTCTCCTTTAATTTATTTATTTTTATTTATTTACTTATTTATCTATTTATCTATCTATTTATCTATCTATTTATTTATTGCGGTACGCGGGCCTCCCACCGCTGTGGCCCCTCCCGCCATGGAGCACAGGCTCTGGACGCGCAGGCCCAGGGGCCACGGCTCACGGGCCCGGCCGCTCCGCGCCATGTGGGATCTTCCCGGACCGGGGCATGAACCCGCGTCCCCTGCATCGGCAGGCGGACTCTCAACCACCGCGCCACCAGGGGAGCCCCTAATTTATTGATTTAAACATGTGCGCGCACGTGTGTGTGTGTTTACTATGGGCGTGTATGGTATAAGAAAGAAGAGGAGGAAGAATCATTGTCAGTCATAAAATATGACCTTATCGGTACTGCTGTCTTAATCTCAAAGGACTGGAGTGTCAATTTTTACCACCAATTGCTATTTAATGTATTTTTTGAGTAGTTGATACATTTACATGGTTCATAAAGCAGAATATTTCAGAAGTATTCAATAAGTAAGCTCTTTCCTAGATCTGTCTTCCACCTGCCTCATTTCCATTTCTCCTTTCCCCAGATATTACAACCGCTGTTACTTGTTTCTGATTTCCCTTCTGAAACTGTTTAATGTAAATATAAACACATGTGCGAGTGTACACATACTCATATGTGTTTCGTATGTGTGTTCTCATTTCTTCCCTGTTTTATACAGAAGGTAGTATACACTACATGCTGTTTGGCACTTTGCTCTTTTATATAACTATGTCTTACAGGTCTTCGCAGTTCAGTAATAGAGCACTTCTTGTTTTCTTTTTTAAGTGGCTGTGTAATCTCTTCAAATAGGTGGACCATAATTTATTTAACTTGGTCCTTTTGGATAAACATTTTTAATATTTCAGAATACAACTGTGTTGGATAACATGGATATAAATCATTTCACACAGGTGAAAATAAATCTGTAGGATGAAATCCTACAAATCAGATTGCAAGCTCAAAGCCAAATGTAGAGGGGGAATTAAACTTATATTTTCTGAAAACAGAAAATATAGCTTGATTGCTCTGTTGAGTGTTATTATTTGAGACAGAAGGGCATACTATGATACTATTAATAATAAGTAGGTCAAGTTATTATATCACGTGTACTTTTTCTAAACTCAAAGTTTGGACGATCCCAGTGACATTTTCAAGATGAGGCTTAAAAACAAAGGATGAATACGAAATAGGCTATTGTTTTATTAGGGGTATTATAACTTTGATATGATAATTGCCCCTGTTCCGGGCAGTGGCTAATAGTTAAGTAATGATCATAAATCTTAGGGATGCTGATTCTGGTTTGATATTTTTTGCAAGGGTACAGGGAAGAGCG